CCTCTTTCTTTCTTTCTTTCTTTCTTTCTTTCTTTCTTTCTTTCTTTCTTTCTTTCTTTCTTTCTTTCTTTCTTTCTTTCTTTCTCTTAGTAAAAGGTAGAGAGGCAAGATAGAGGCTCCGGAAGAGGCGCGAGAAAGTCCGAAGCGTGAGAAAGAGGCGATTTGGGTGGAAACGGGCGGAGGCTGGAAGGTGGATGAAGGGCGGGCTCCGCAGGAAGGGCGGCAATCGTGACAGCTCGCAAGGGTGCCACCACAAGGAGGGTGAGGATGTCCCAGCATCGCATGCTCTTGTGCGGGCACCATTGCCCGACAGCTGAAAACCTGTGAAAATGCTGAGGACTGCAGGGCAGAATTGGAGGTGGCTTCTCCCCGTTCTCGGGGGCTTTCTTTAAAGCGGCGTGTCTGGAAGAGAAACTGTGCTGCGTTTCTCCCAGAGCAGTCTGGCCCCTGGGGTGACAGTGGATCGTCCAGCCCCTTTGCCTCATTTTATGTATTTATTTTCCCCCCATGTCTATATGCAGACTGGAGTACATGTGTTTCTGGGCAACCTTTTAACTGAATAAATCGATAAGGTTTAGAATGAATGGCGAAGTTCTCCCAAGATGTTTGTAAAGGTGGGCCAAGGAATTGCATGAGGTGTCCGACCCCTGTCAAATCTAAGGACCAAGGGTTGCAAAATACTGTTTTCCTTAACTCCCTTGTTGGGCTCTGTTTCAGCCTTGGAGTCCTCTTTACGAGTGAGGAGGGGGACATGACCCCATTGCAATCAAATCTGAGGATGATGTTCATTGCTCAACATTTGTAGCGGGCAAATCTGGAAATAGGAAGTAAAATTCTCAAAAGTCATCAAGGCTTGGGTAAACATTTCTCCTGTTTCTTGGAAGATCAAGATTTATAGCAACTCCTCTTCCTCCTAATTCCTGGAAACCCAGAGGGTGGCTTATGATTGGTCATATTTTGCACCCCAGGACAAAAGACTTCCACTTAAAAATATTTACCCAGTTCAGCATTGCTCATCTGTTAGTAAATGACTTTAGGCTTTAGAAACAGAGCTGTAGTAAGGTTGGGCCAAACAGAACTGCTACTGGCAGAGGCAGAGGAGTTGAAAAGAGGTGGGGCTTCAGTGGCACGGGCGTGGCCACCAGCTTGATTTTTTTTTACACACACACACACACAGAGCACTCCTGGCCTACTGGATGGGCGTCTAAGGCCATTATCTCACCCACAAGACTCCCTTCAATCGCAATCGCCCCAAATCAGTGGAATGGCTTCCCACTATTTTGAAGTTGGAACTACATGGCAGCTATATGGGAAACCCTAGAATAGCTTTAATACAGTGCAGGGGGTGTGGTCGAAAAATTCAAGGTGGTGGCAACACACACAAAATACAGGGGGAGATTCAATGACTCCACTTTTTGGAACATGCTCTGTGGACATTCCTGGCATAGTTTCAAAAACCATCCTGTCCCTCCCAGAATGAAGGAAAAAACAGGTCATCTTCCCCACCCCCTTATATCACATCAGTCTGCCCTCTTTGCCTCATTGTCCCACCCCCACAGCACCCGTGTCTTCCAAGGATACCAAATATGGCTCTCAGCTACCAGCTGGTTGTCCAGAAACCTTGTTCACCTACTTTCCTCTGATGTCCATAGGAAAAAGGTACACATTATTGGATTTTTGAGTCGTGGGGGGGGGGGGGACTCCTGCAGGTATTGTACCTATTTGATTTTCACCCCTGATTTTCCTACCAAGGGCCTTCCTCCCAGAAAAATGGATTGGTCAAAGGGTGAGACTGCAGCTATCCAGGAGATTCTTTAGGCTGGATCGAGGAATCAAATGCTCTCACTTAAGCAACATATCCTGGTGCAGCTTTTATCTGTTAGTAGCACTATTGCAAAAGTAATCTCTGCTTATCACATATCTACGATGACTTCCTGTTCCTACCAGAAACAGCCACTTTTCTTTTTCCGAGCTCAGTTCCCATGTGGGCTTCCTGTGCCGTTTACAGAATGACCAGACAGGCTGTCTGGGCTTCTCCTTAACTTCCCCCATAGCCCATTTTGACCAACAGCCAAAACTGCAATTGCTTCTCCGTTCGGGTTGCAGGCCAGTCTCCCAAGCAATGGAGGTGAGGGGGTCTGTTTTGGTGATTGGGGGAGACCGTTCCTGAGAACAGAAAGAACAGAATGGGCACCTCGTCCTAAATGGGCAATGATACGGCAGAACTGAAAAGGTGGAGCTTTTGTTCAAAAACCTTGCCCACAGTTTCCCAGCACTGATGGTAAAATGGGATTCCCTTCCCTAATTAAAGGATTCGTGTAATCTGATGGTGGTCATATGAATGCTGCAGGCACAAATTTGACAGTGCTCCTCCCCTTCCTGGCAATAAGCAGCACAATTATTCCTACCTAGGCAGACTTTCTTCCATTTCACCATTCTCTTCATTTCTTCAAGTTAGCTTGAAACCAATTTGCAATGATCTTTTTTGAGTTCCCATGGGTCCTGGAGCAACAATAAACTTATTCTCAAGAAAATAAATGGCTAGCGCTACCCCCCTTTCTATGTTCTTTCATTTCAAATTCTGTTTGTGTGCCAAAAAAATCTGAGCGACTGTTAAAGGGGGAGCTGCAAAGCTGCAAAGCTACCTTTTCTCCTGTGAATTAACAGTCCCTTGTGTACTGTGATGATGAAAGGATAGCATGTCAGCATTTTTGCAGCCAGGCACCGTTCTCATTATCTTTAACCATGGTGGTATGTTGCTGGAGCCCCTGGAGAAGCAGAGACGCATATTAAATTGACAGGATGCTAATGCTTGCCGGCGGGGGGGGGGAGCGCATTTTTTTTGCCACCAGGAGCTCAGAGGCAGGAAAATCCCGCTAGTAGCAAAATAAACCCCAGATTCTCACCATTGCATATAAAATACTGGATTTGTTCCAGTTTTAAAAAGCACAGCAGAGCTCTCGCCCCCTCCCAAAAAACGATTCTGCTTTCAAAACCAGCTGACATTCTGCAACTGCCTTGCCCCAGAAGTGTTTTCAATTACTCATTAGCACCTTACGTGGAGGTGCCTTCAGTAAGACAGTTTTAAGATATAAATCTCACCATTGTTAACAACCTTCAACACAAGGACAATAAAATTAAAAATTTGGAAGCATCTGACCAACCAACATTGAATCCAGGACTTTATATAAGCTTTCACCGTGTGATTTGATTTATATTTGTGGAAATATATATTGGTATAATATAAGCCTGCCAGGAAGGTCCTTATTTCAACTGAAAACAGATTTAACTTTGAATCAAATCCTTTGGCAAAAAGGCACTGTCATAGGAAAGATTCCCCAGAACGTTTTCTTTTTGATGCATTCGGATTTAAATTAACCCACGTGGGGATATTTTCTGGAGGAGCCAAATTCTGTGACTGTTGTCTTCTGACTCTTTGGCTAATTTAAATCATAATAGACTTCAGATATATTAATCATTAAAAAAATAGAATAATCGTACATTTATTAGCATCCAGCAATGGGCTTTTCCACAAAGGAAAAGTTGCAAAATTGAATGCTGGAATGTCTGTTACTCTGAGTAATGTAAGATTAATTGGCTCAAGAAAGATCGATAAGCCTTGCTGAATAAAATACCATTCCAGAAATCTAAAGTTGACAAGAATATACCTGCAAAGGACACTGTGAAGGATAACACTGATCCTTGATTTAAAACCTGCGTGATCATGCCAATCTTTCAAGAGATAAGAAGTTTTTATTTTCTAATTTCTTCCCCCCTAAAATTCAGGCAGTGAACACTTCTTAGCCCTTCCTCATGCTGGAACCCATCATCTTCAGATCATCTTTAAAAACCATCCTTTGAGACAATGAATTGTTGTCACCACTGGAGTTTCACACTTATGAAACAAACCAATTCCAGTAAGTTCCAGTAAATTGATTTTGAACTTGGGTGTGAAAATACCTTTAAGCAGCATCATGAAAGAAACTTACAGTGCAATCTTATACCATGATAGATCCCCAGATATTTGGTACAGAATTGCAGGTTTACATTGTTGGGTATTATTATTGTTGTTGTTAATCATGTTAACATCATACTGATTTGCACTATGTATGTTCACTTGTTGCTTATCTTAGTAATGTTCCTGTCACAATACGTCTAATCTGGGACCCTAATCCAAACAGCAGCTGAAGCAAACCTAACAAAATCTGTTTCTCAAATCACTGAAATCAGCCACAATTCTAAGGATTGTTGCTAAAAATCACCTGTTTCCCAAGATAGATGCTCCTTTAGCCATCCTCACAGCTCCAACATTCAAGAACAAAAGTTCTCCCTATCGCTTATGAGAGCATCCCTCAAGAATTACCAAGATAATTTCCATCTTCTCAGCCTGCAAGGTGCCTGGGCTAATTCACTGCAAACCTCTCTCCTTGGAACTGTTAAATCACCCCATAGTTCCTCCTTGACTTGGGACAGCCCCCAAACGGCCAGCAAGAGGCACTTAAGTTGACCGCTGGAAAACCTACTGGTGCAGCCCAACCCACAAGGAGATCGAATGACAAGTTCAGGGGAGAACCAGAAAGGAAGGAGCAGCAACAACCTCTTCGAGACGCAGCAAATCTATCAATACCACCCCATCTTCCAAGAAAGGAGACTGGAAATGTTGCTTCCGAATTCTCCTACAGCTCCCATTATCTGTCCATCCATTGGTAGCGGCCGCTGGTGCTGCTGCTGCCACCATACGTGGTGTGTGGCTGGTGGTCGGTTGGGCTGGGAGCACCGATCCATCTGGTTTCCCTGAGTCCTATTTGCTGCTCATTTACTTTCTCCTCTTTGGGGGAGAGTAGACGCTGTAGCTCCTCTTGGTCAGAGAGGGGGTTCTTGCCATACTCCATCTGGATCCAGGCTCGGTACTGCCAAGACAAAAATTCCAGAGCAGCTGTCAGGGGAGAGGGCTGGGCCAAGATACAGAGAATACGTACAGTGAGCGATCAGTCAGTGAACAGACCATGGTCAATTCAAGGAGAAAACTCTGCCCTTAGAGGACAGATGTGGGGCATCTAAGACCCGAACTCCTTTGCTGTGAGAAGCTTGTCTTCTTCCTACCTCTGAACCACAGCTTTCCCCAACTGTCTGGTGGATGCTACTAAAGCCTTGAAGAAAGGCTTCATGCAACCAGTGGGACCATCTCTGATCCAGCAACAGTCACCAGTAGCACACCTGATGATGAGCCCAGATGTTCTTCCTTTTTTTTTTTTCCTTCCAGCTAAAGAGTCAAACCAAGTCGACAGCCTTCAGACAACCTTGCAGCATAGATCAGCCTGCCCCAACCTGGTGTTCTCCAGATGTGTTGGCCTGCTTGCAGGATGATTCTGCTGGGGATAATAGGCATTGTAGTCCAAGACCTTTGGAGGGCATCAGTTTGGGGAAGGCACATATAGAGAGCAATGTGTCTGTCCACCTCTGCCATTCAAAAGGCTACTTATAGACATGTATATGACACTTCCATTTCTTGGCATGTACAGCAGTAAGTATATATTTACCAGAATAAATGCAATTTCCTTGAAATTCTCCCCTGCCTCCCAAAAAATCATGTACCGTTAAAATGGTAGGGTCATCTTAAATTTACTGAGAATGTAGTCAAGTACTTTCTGTCTGATCGACCTGCGTGGAAGGGATATTCTTAAATTCAAGATTGTCTTCCTTTTGAATAAATCTGGGTAATTACGTTAATTTTATTCTTTTTAGATATTGTTACCCAGCTCCACTTCCCTGCCATACAAAGTCAGGACCATCTTAAAAACAGCTGAAGTGTTGTGTTTATAAATGCACAAACTGCTCTCTGTTCTAGATCAGATGCTTCAGTATTTAGTTGAGTCGATGGAGCCCAACTCCCAAATGACTCCCAAACAATTTAGATCAGCGTTTTTCCAAACTTGGCTGCTTTAAGATGTGTGGACTTCAACTCCCAGAATTCTCCAGCCAGCAACTCCCA